CAAAATCCTGGAGTAACACTGACGACAAGCAAATTTTTATTATTAGACCATTCATATGCTTCCACTTGCGTAAGAGCATTTAAGGCTGCCTTACTAACACCATACATAAGAAAGGACGGCTCCGCATTGTATCCAAGATGTTCAAGAGTATTTGTCTCGATGGCTGAGATAAACTCTTCAACTAGTTGGTCAAGTTGATATTTTGTCAATGTCGATGATGCATATCTTTCTTGAAGGGCTTGAGAGGCTTTATACAGCACAATGGGACCGGCGCGACTAGATACATTGATTATGCGGCCATTCTCTTGCATCAGAGGAAATAAATATTCATTGAGTATTTTAACACCATAATAGTTGGTGCCAAATATTTCTCGAGCTGCATCGGCACTTAAATCTTTCCTTATGATAGCAGCATTGTTAATAACGACATCTAGTTGACCACCGTATTTTTGGTTGATTTCATCTTTAGCTCGAATAATACTTTCGCGACTAGATGTATCCAATTGTAGAACGTGAACATTTGATGGAGATCCTAACTGTATGAGTGCATCCTCACCTCGTTTCAAATCACGACTGCCAAGTAAAATGATAGTACTATTAGGTAGTGATTCTTTCGCAAGTTTCTTGACTATGAGAAAGCCAATGCCTCTATTAGCGCCAGTGACAAGAATCGTGCGCTTTTGTTCTGTTGACGACATACTGAGAAGATAGAAAAATGAAGATAGCAAAGGCGTGGTGCTTGGCCGAAGAAAGAACAAGCAAAAAACGACTCCTTATCAACAAAAAATATACTATGCATGTCTCTGATGACAAAACAAAAATGAAAAATTTTCACAATTCAACAAATGCTTTGTTTAACTCATAATTAGCTGTGCTTGATCTGTGCAATTTCTACTTTTGATACGCATTTGATGCAGTTTGAATGTTTTGAGACGCACAGTTAGAGATTTTTGTACGACGGATAAGTTCGTCATACTGAAATCACTTTTTAGTCAATACTGGATGGTTTCTCTGAATGTCAATGGTTTCGAATTAGATAGAAAATGATGTTTTATGCTGTTCAATTTTAACATTTATTTTTTTAAGATGCATATTGCAAAGAATCTTAAGTTTTAGGGGATTAATTCGGCCTCTTCTGTTCGCCATATTGAGATCATCCCCAATATTCTCTTACTATATCTAACATGCAGCTTCTTTCAGCTGAGTATAAATTATAACTGATTAATCAACAAGTAATTAGTCAATATGTTTTTGAATTGTATGAGTATAGAATTTTAAAAGGTTTAGAATAAAATATAAAGGTGCATCATAAAGTGTTGCTTTCAGACGTTCACGGATTTAATGTAAAGAAAACTTTAAGTGATAGAGTAAACATGTACTTTTATAAAAATTGTCATAAAAGAAATGAACAAAGTGTAGTATTTTATAAAAAAAGAACCATTTAGATAACTCTAAAAGGTTCAACTTTATGAGTTTTAAAAACAGATGAATGCTTAATAGGAGCCTGTGGTGTACTTAGTAGCAAACAACGGTTTTATCAATTTTTCATTTAATTGACCTAATGTTAGACTTTCAAAATAAATGAAATGTTAATAGAAATAAAAGGATTGGCTGTCGTTTATTTATGAAATTGATAGTTGACTATTTTAATAAAGAAAGCAATAATTAGTTTGCACTGAAATTTATTTTTTTTTGTAAAGTCGAACATCATTCTTCGGCGCCGTTTACTGCATTGTTTATCAATAATCAAATAGCTTTGATTACAATCATTTTTATTCCACCCACTATACCATATATCTTTATACATTGGGATCAAATGCCACTTATTGCGGTTGTGGAGTTATTGGAAAGTTCGTTGATGCTTTCTATTTCTGTGACCTTCGATAGAAGCGTACATACAAAAAACATAGATATTCAAATAGTAATTGAAAAATACTATTAGAAAACAATCGTCGAGTGTCGGATAATCATTGACAACAACCGTTATAACTGTCATCGAATTACATATAATCTGATAATATTCGAGTCGATACTTTTTTATTCTATGAAGTCAACGTTTCTTGAAGCTTACTATATTAGGTGGCATACTTTGGACTTCTTTCATCGAATAACGAATCAGGAGAGGTTTTTTTTTGTCTATTCCATATTTCTAACCTTTCATTACTACCTGTCTCATTACAAGATAAAATAAAATGTTAAGCTAACACGACTATGGTATACTACACAGTGAAATCACTGATTACGATAATGTTACGGTACGCATTCCGTTTCTTTGTTTCTGTCAACTGCATGTTTAGGTCGTTTATCGAATATTCTACGCGTGTTGTGTACCGTCGATATTGATAGATTTTTATATTACTCTTAGGACTATTGGCTTTAATTTATCTCGCAAAATTTTCTATGCTTATCTATGTTCGAGCAGCTAGAATATATATAATGCCAGAATAGCTGCTTTTCTTCTAGCAGAATTTTATTGAATTGAAAAGGATATCCTTAATTAAAAGCAAGTTCGTGTCTACCGAGTTTTTACTATTATTATTATCATTATTTTCATATCCTTTTTTTTTCTTTAATGAAACAGTTTTTTCTTTCTTTTCAGGCGTGTACTGTAGATCAAGAGATCAAAAGAAGCTCAAACACTCTCTTTTATTTCCGCAGAGAGCAAATGTTCTTTACAAACAAATCTTGATTTGCTAGAAAGCATTTCTTTGCATTTGAATCGACGTACTAATGAGCTAATCTTAAAATTAGAAGTTGCATTGAGTACAGCAATATTTTCTTACTCTTAATAAGAATAAAATTAATATTTGTTTCTTTTTTCTTATTTCATAAATTAATCATCAAAGCATTAGAAAACCTTCACTATTCTTTTACTCATCAATTTTCAATAGAAAGTCGCACTTCCGAACTGATTTCCTTTATTCTATTTCTTTCACTGCAGCTAACGTTTGTAACATGTGACCGTTCGTGATATATACCGTTTCTAATCAAAGATTATTATAGACTAGCATTGATGACATTCATCTAAACAAAGTTCGTGCTCGTTATTACAATATTCTTCATAATCACACGTGCAGAAGTTGTTGATGCGCCAGCACATTTCAATAGTCCAACAACGCTGCTACTATTTTTTAAGGACGTATTCTGCCGAATAGATTATTTTCTGATGAAAATGAATTTAACAATCATCGACGAAGATACTCTTATCATCTACTTGTCAACTATAGGTCTCTATGTTATGCGTTATGTTCTTATGATTATGATTGTTCTTGGTCTTATCGGCAATCTATTCAATGTGCTTGTTTTTCATCAAAAGAAACTTCGATCGAATCCATGTTCTTTTTATCTCATTACATCTGCGTATGCAAATATTATTTGGATTATGACAAGTCCACTACCGAGAATGCTTGCAACGTTTCAACTAGATCTTTCAGAAAATATTACTCTTCTCTGTAAAATACGTCGATCACTTGCTTATACATGTTCGAGTTTATCAATGGCTTCGATTGCATTTGCTACAGTTGATCGTTATTTTGTTAGTAGTTCGCAAGTTGAATATCGTCAATTAAGTTCATTGCGTAGTGCTCATCATTTAATACTCATTACTGCATTGATCTATTGTTTAATATTCGCTGATATGTTCTATTGTCTCGATATCGTTGGTGTACCTCCGTCAATTGTTTGTACAATAAGTACAACACGAATGTGTGGTCTTTACAATGAAATAGCTCGTTTAGTAGTACTTGTATTCATTCCAAGTATGCTGATTTTGATGTTCGGATGTGGAACTATAGGAAATGTAAAGAGAAGCAGACAACACAGCCGTCCACAAGGAAACGGTATTCATCACATTGATCGGCACCTTATTCAAGTAAAGAAATCAAATTTGAGTTGAATTATAAAGTTTGTCTTTGTATGTGTTATCTTATAGATGGTGATCGGTCAAGTAGTTTTAATCATGGTTTCCTATATTCCAAATACAATTCAACGTATTTATTTAGTTCTTACACTTGATCTAGAGAAAACTCCATTACGTTTACAAACAGAAATATTGACCGGCGAAGTAACATTATTATTGACAACTTTGCAAAGTTCATTATCATTTTACATTTATGCGACAACAGGTGGAACACTCTTTCGACAAACTTTTAAAAAAATATTCATAAGTGGATTTTCCAGATATTGCCACTTTGTAGAGAATAGCCATGCAGAAGAAAATTTAGAGCTCCGTCAACTGAAAAATAATATAGAATAATAGCATTTTTGGGCGTTTGTTAATGGGCAATCTAAAATTGAATTTTCAAAGAAACATTATTTTTTTGTAAAAAAAGATTTGGAAAGTAATTATTTGTTCTGCTGACGTTCTTCTCTTTAATTAGCATTTGAATGTATGATAATGTTGATTTAATCAATAAAAGCGAACAAAACTAGAGTTTACTGAATGAGACTTCTAAAATTGAATCATATCATTTCATGTCAAAGTTGTCATTGTGTGCAATAAGAAGCAGAAAATTCATTAAATTAACTTGACACTCTTCAAGTCAAGTTATTGTATTGGCCAATAATAATGAATAAGCATTAACAGTAATGAAGCCTTAGATCGTCGATTTTTCTATCAAATAAATGCACAAGTAGAATAGTTATAATAAAAAAAAAGAACGATAGCTTTCCCCATAAATAGATTCCTTTAAAGACTAAATGCAAATTAATATTTTAATGAATTCTCTCTAATGTGGCGTAGAATGCTTAATTAAAAAATCAACCAGCAGAAAAATTTCATGACATATGTTAGAAGATCGCGGGTTTTCCATTTTTTTGATATCCTGTCTGTGTTGAAAGATTTTATCCCTTAAAAAACCTATGTTTCAACATATGGTTCGTAAAATTACGTCTGTAAATAGAAGAAAAGTGAGTATTTTATCGTATATAATAGGCTATATTATGGTGTTCACTACAAGCTTTTAGTCAAATTTCTACACGAGCTGACGGAAGATATTTTTTTACATATCAAGGTGAATGAATCCGACAACGGATCTTATTAAATCCTATGGGATGCCACTCCCCGACAGAGCCCGATAGGATTCCTGGACAGACCTATTGTCGGTTTCGGCGGAAAAAATCATTTTATTATCACATATGGTATTCGGTATATTCACTGTCTGACCCTTGTCAAAATCCGATAGGATCCTACTGTCCAATTGATTCTCTTGGGTAATAAACAAAACAGTAGAAAAATAATTTCTTCACAATCATTTCTTAGAAAAAAAAAATCTGCTGAGAAATCCGACGCACCTTGGTCATATCGTGGTTAAAACTCTATTTGATTGTTTCTTTGTAATGTAGTTATTATGTAGTAAATATATATCTGTAATATAATGATGTTGTTTCTTTTTTGCATGGTGTCAAGCAGTTCATCATTAACAATAAGTACACGACATCAGTGTTTACAGGAGATTTTTCGTCTTAGTACTAGATTTATATTTAGATATGTCGTCTATCAAAATAATAGCTCTTATCATTAATTAAATATCTCAAGGCCACGCTTCCCACGGAGAAAAAAATTCCAAAAAACCGCGGTTTATCAGCGTTCTTTTCACATCGCGTTTAAAGCAAACCGCCATTCTGAATATAGCGGTTATCAACGGTTTTTCAAGCCGCGGTGAATTTTCATTTAGTTGTAAAAAAATCTTTATACGTTTGGAATACATCTGTTAATAATCATTTTTCTTTTAAACTTATATAACAGAAGACAGTCCACCTTGCATAATAAAAGACTGTATAATTTATATGCATCTGTTCGTTATAGAAATGTCTGAGATTGAACGGTAAAAGATACTACTGCTTTTATTGTTTTTTACTCTTTTTTGTTAATGGTTGATTCAAGCAAAATTGCAGAAAAAAGTAATACTTCTTTAATAAATTTTAAAAAACGGAAGATTGATAATGCAGACTGTTTCAAGAGAGTTCACATAATAGAGGGCTCATTTTATATAATGAGGAAGCCGCAAAAATTTTGGAAAAAATTGTTTGGGGTTCTTTCATGTATCGAAAGCGTGACGTTCTACAAAGTGGTTAAACGCGGTTCCAAAAACCACATTTCTCACATACGAAACCGCGTTCGGGAGAGTTCACTACACTGTCTCTCGAAGAGCGCCATAGCTGAAGCCTTTAAGGTACAGGTTATGGTCGCACACCTGCTTCTGTTGAGTCTAGTGTATCGGAAAAGCCGCGGTTTGAAGCGTTTGTTTGGATATAACGGTAGTCAGACTATTTATGCATTTCAAAAACACCGTCTGAAACCGCGGTGTTTCCAAAAAACTTTTCTGTGGGCTCATTTCTTGCGCTAGTAGTGCCGAGAGATAAATTCTTCTTTAGTATTCAATAAAGATTTACAAACATAGAATTTCAAAAGGATTATTTATAGAGGATTTCTTGTAAATACAATCATCAGTATATGAATTTTCCTCCTTGACTCTTTTTATTGTCATATTTTTTTTTAAATATTCAGGTGAACCGATTCGATTAAATGTTGAAGTCTAAGAACATAAATAGGCTACCAGAGAAAGAAGGAACGACTTTCTATTCCATTATTTAATGAAACAGGTTATCATGATAAAAGCTTGCGCATGTTTATTATTAGAATTTTTGCGAAAATGTCTAAATTCCATATAAATTTGATACAAGCTACAACATTCATCTGTTGCTAACGGATATAATGTCTGTAATTGATAGACATCAAGAGCTTTTTATTACTTATCGAAATAGAGATCAATCTGAGATGAAATAGTTAGAAAAATAAAGTTTAAAGCAATATACAGAAAAGTATACTTTTGTCTTGTTACGAACATCAATATAGACGACTAAGCATTACGAACAATATAAATTAGACGACAATACCACTTAAATCTCAATAGACATTGCAATAATATTTTTATCATGTCAAGTTGTTCCTCTATTCTAATTAAGACACAGTTTGTTTCGTAACTTCTCACTAATCGTTCGAATCTATATATGCAGACAAGAAATCATTTTTTGCTAAGGTAAGCTTTTATGCAAATTGATAAACTATACAATAGCATTTATGAATCTCAAATACTAGAGAGCAATGATGAAACAACTTAGTTGCACGTGAAGTTGAATGCATCGATGCATTGCTGGTGAACATGAAACTTACCTTCTATGTAAAGAAACAAAAGAACTTGTACGTCACAGAGGTGGGCAAAATACTCGAAGTACTCATACTCGAGTACGATTTTGCTAGTATTCGTACTCGTACTCGAGAGGTCTGGTACTCGTGCTTGGAAATTTTATTTTTTGAATTTGAGATAAAGCATCTTTTATGGCACGAATATCTCCTCTTGTCGATCAGCGCAAATGTTCGAAGATTTGTGCAACATATAGTCGTGTAACGATCGCCATATGCCAGTCTATTTTCTTTCTTCGCTTCATATAAATATATTTAGTCGTTGCAGCACATTAAGCTCAAGGGTACCGCGACAGTGGGAGGACGGAGAGATGAGCCTCGCTCCAGTATTCGAAAAATCGTCTTGCATTGTATTTCACAAAATGAAACTTATACTACGCCAAGTACAATCTGCTAAGCTACTCCCAGTGTTGCCAGATGTTAAACTCGAAAATCTGGAATGTAAATGTCAAAATTCGAAAAATTGAGAAAAGAATACGAAAAACCCAGGAAAAATCCAGGAAAAAATCCGAAAAGGTCCAAAAAAAACTTTCAGAACCCGGAAGATTTGGCAGCATTGGTTGCTCCCCCTCCAAAATATTTGGAAAGTAGGATTTTATAAGTTACACCCCCATCTCCCAGTATTTGGTTGCTCGTGACACCCCTGATTAAGTGTACATTTTTTACAAACTAGTTTGAAACCTTCTAATCTTACTGATACAATTATTAGTATTGGTACTAGTACTCGAAGTACTTGTACTCGAGAAAGTCCGTGCTTGCCTAGCACTGGTACATCATCCATTATGAAAATCTTGGACTCTACATTAGTTATTATGTCACGGTCTATAGAAAGAGAGTATGTCAAGACTTAATGATACGCAACACAATCGGGTTCTGCAACACTTGAAAGTTCACCCTATGGGTTCACTCAACATCAGTAATTTTCTTTTCAAAAAAACAAAATGAAAATAATAATAGAGCTAATAATAATAATAATTTTCTCAGTGCCATTTCCCATGTAGTTCAGTGTGAACAGTTTGAGACGAGAATTACTGGCGAACTGAAGCAACGCTAAAAAGAAACCATTATTTCCTATACAACTCGAAGCATCGAGAGACTTGAATAGACTATTGTTAGCTTTAGCTAAAGAATCGTTTTATTGTTAACAGAAAAGCAGAGACACAATCAAGAGAGTAGTTAAAATTCAACTGATTCTCAAAGAACAACGTGATTAACCCTTTCTTATTTTTCGCACCTTTTTTTTATCAAATAACACTATGAGTAGTCACTTTAGTGCGCTCGAAGGGACGAAGTTACAGTTTTCTTTCATATCGGTCGTTCATGAGACGTTCAATTATGAGAAATAATCTTAATTAACTTTACTTCTACTTCCGATGCTGCTTTACGAAGCAATTTATTTTGATTTTTGATTTCCTCGATTAATAATCAGTTCATTTTTTCTCGACCACAAAATACTAGTCGTTTTGAAAAATTCCAAACAGCTCGCTTAAGTATGCCTGTCGAGTACCAATCTGGAACAACCAGATAGGATTCAAGGGTGTGGGTGTGGGGGATGCGCATCTCTAACCGAGATCTTACATCTCCAGTGGTGAATGACCGCATCTCCCGAATGTGCATGTCGCGTCTTCCGCTGGAGACGCGGCATCTCCTGTGGGAGATGTGGTAGCATCTCCAAAATGTTGGATATGTGACACCACTCTTCACAAGGCAACATTATTCATCGAGTCGATTGTCAGCTTATGCAGGTAATGAAAATAAATTTTAAACTATCATTTTACAAGCTTTTGTACTACTTTCTAGATGATAATTGTACAAATAGTTCTAATAATGATTTCCTTTATTCCAAATACAATTCAACGTATCTATTTAGTTCTTACACTTGATCTAAAGAAAAGTCCATCACGTTTACAAATAGAAATACTTTCCGGTCAAGGGACATTCATTATGACAACTCTGCAAAGTTCATTATCGTTTTATATTTATGCAACCAGCGGTGGAACACTCTTTCGACATACATTGCAAGAATTATTTAGACTTAAACTGTGGAAAAAATATTCTGTAAGACAGCAAAGACGTGCAATAAATTTTCAAACTTTGTAATTATGTTTTTTTTATCTGAAATGAAAAGTTAGTCAGTGATGATGACAACTGATGTTGAGTGCTGTTTTTCTAGAAAGTTTCATGCTTTTAGTTAAAATATAACATTGAAGCATGTATTGTTTATTTCATTATAATAAAAGTTTATTTTTCTGATCTCACTTATTTGACTTCAATCTCAAACAGAGGTCGCCAATTTATGAATAATGTTAATAATTTTGTCCTCGATCCTAAACAATCTATTAGTATCATGTGAAAGCTGTTTTTGAAATGAATACAAAATAAATTTTTTATATTTATCTCACGAGTTAAAATGTTTTATTATTATTATTGGTAGTTATCTAATCATAATTCAATTCTATAGTTTTGATAATAATATTTTGACTCGTTTTTCGAACTCAAAAGTAAAGTACGTTTATAAGTATGAGCTCGTTATCATAAGGGTAAGTTTATCTTTCAAGTCATTCATTCGAAATATAGTTTTTCTCGTGTATTCAGATGTCTGCACAAAGACTACAAACTATTGGCCGACATATTCAATTAAGTACACAATATGTACATGAATATTTATTTTTTTAAAGTTTTACTTCAATGCATAATTTTGTTTCTTTTTCTACTATAAAAGAAAGCTGAACAACAGCCGGAATATCGTTTTACATTAGAAAATGGCATTCTAACCAAAGAACAACGTGATTTTTATGAAAAAAATGGCTTTATTGTAATTCGAAATTTAGTATCATTGGAAGCACTTGATCGTTTTCGGTAAAGAAAAGTATACAAATACTTGATTAATTTTTAATTTAATCTTCTCTTAGAAAACGTTTTCAAGATGTTTGTACAGGCAAAGTTGATACGTTCGGTATGACAATCATGAAAGATGTAGCTATTGCAAAATCTGAATTTGCCGACGGTGAAAAAGCTATAACAAAAATTCAAGATTTTACGTTGGATGATGAATTATTTCAATATTGTTGTCTACCAGAAGTAGTTAAATATGTTGAGAATTTTACTGGTCCAAATGTGATGGCAATGCATACGATGGTAATATTAGGAAGAAGAAAAAAAGAATGTTTCATCTTTTATTTAAAAATAAAAAAAAAGACTTTATCGATTTAGTTAATTAATAAACCACCTGATCCGGGTACTCAAACATCACGTCATCCACTCCATCAAGATTTATATTACTTTCCATTTCGGCCAGCTGATCGCATTGTTTGTGCATGGACAGCCATGGAACATATACATCGTGGAAATGGATGTCTGGTAGTTCTACCTGGCACACATAAAGGTGAACTTCAACCACATGGCTATCCCGAATGGGAGGTGAGGAATAGCAAAATTTTAATTTTAATTTTTTTCTAAAATTTCATTTAGGGCGGTGTTAACAAAATGTATCACGGAATTCAAAAGTTTGATCCCAATGGAGAACGAATACATTTAGAAATGTGGACAGGTGATACTGTTTTCTTTCATCCAGTACTTATTCATGGTAGTGGAACGAATAGAACCGATGGATTTCGAAAAGTAAAGAACTTTTCTTGCGTATTGTTATAATTCATTTTTTACTGTTCGATAATTTCTCCTTTAGGCAATATCTTGTCATTATGCAGGTTCGGAATGTGAATATGTTGAATGTGGTGATATACAAGATTTAATATCGAAAGAAGTTACAGCAATTTTTAAGAAACGAACTGGAATTCAAGAAGCACGTTTTGAAGTAAAATCCTTTTGGCAAATATTTTTTGAGTGTATGAACTTTTCTTTTATATATTTAGGATGTTTGGCGAGTTAAAAGTCGATTGGTGAAAGGGGAGCGTATAAATCTATAATAAACACGAAATTTCTTCTTTTTCCTTTTTTTTGTATTCACTGTGATTTCATAAAAATATCTAAATAAAAGAACGAAAAAGAAAAAAAAATAGATGATGATAATAATGAGTCATTTTTTTTTGTTATTCTTTCCTCTTATTTCGTCAGTCTACTGTGCAATTTTTGCTTGGCGCGATAGTATATAATAAGAAAGCAGACATTTCCGAAAGCATACTTACCTGCCACGGAAGCATTCACGATCAGGAACGTGATTGCTCCAGGTTGAGGCGCGGGCATTGCACATCGCCCCCGTTGACGCCTGCGAAAAGTCCACATCGGGCTTTCTCGAGTGGAGAATTTGTTCCGCGGTCACTTGCGTTCGCGCATTGGCCATTCTATAGAAACCAGTAATGAAAATTATAATATTGCATCTTCCGACCACAGTTTGTATTCATGTCGACTTCAGTTGTAATATTAGAGGACACTATTTTACTTGTGTGTCTGAATTCGTACTTTTAAAGTTAATAGAATGTTTTAGATTTCATATCTATGCTTTAGTTCTGCTCTACATATGTGATACAGATGATTTCTTTTTGCAATGTATGAAAGACTGCCAAATGATATAGTATTTGATACTGACTATTGATGATTTATCGAAAAAAAGTTTACATCTTTATCCGTAACATTGCACTCAGCCTAGAAACGAAAATTCTAATATTTTCCAGGTTTCTTTGAAGCAAATATCTTATCAACTGTTCGCTAGTTAGATTGCTCCATTGATTTAACATTTTCTTGTATTATGACTTCTCATCAAACAATGGTTAAACACAAGAGCACAGCATTTGCACAGGAAACATTTCATGACTGTCAACATATGGAACCCATAGTGATTATAAGACGAATGCTTGTTATTTTTTTATACCATATTTATCTTTTAATAATAAAAAAACGAAGTCTTTAATTACACTTGCGAAATTTTTTCTGTCCAAGATTTATCTCAATTGTTGTTGATTAGATAGAGTAGAGGAGAGGAGAAGAAAAACAAAACAAAATTCTGTTTCTTGTTTTTTACATAAAGCAGTATTCTTCTAAATTAAGATAGAACACAAAAAAAATCGTATGATTTTCTGTCTGTTCTTGTTTCGTAGTAGCTTAAAATTGACTCCAATTATGTGTGTAAATCGATGTGTTATTAAATTCCATATTTCGTGATATCTCTTCGGGAATAGCATGTGATAACCATCGTCGGTGCAATGTACGGTAGCGTTCATCACATAAATGTAAAGGATTTCCGCGTCTAAAACATAATTTTTTTAAGGACATAAAAAAACAAAACTACTGATTTTAATTACCGCAGATTTTGATCTGTTTCCCCGTAGTCATCTAGATAAGGGGCAGCCATGAATGTTCCACGTGTTTTATTAATACGTCCATCGTTAATTATACTGAGTAAAAGTAATGAACATTCTTTAACACGTAAATAAAGTCCTATGGAGCCGCAACAATGTTGAGTATGCGTATTACACGGACCCATTGTTTGATCCATATTAAGTAATGTTGATATTAAATTATTTGTTGTCATTAGATGTGGTACTGTTGCTGTTGACGATGATGATGAACGAACAACAACATCACCACATGTTAAACATATACATGGTGATCGAGCTTCATCACGTGCATATTTATAAGGTGCAACACTATTAAAAGAAACAAAAAAAGAAAAAGAATTAAACTAGATAGAAAGCATATTGCTCAATTTGTCTTTTCCTCAATGACAATCGACTAATTTCGAGTCATTTGAACGAATGTTTTCTCTTGGCTCAAAAAAGGAAATACCCGATTATAAAAATTATATGAAGAGAGAATTATTTTAACTACTAAACGTTATTTTCTATTATAATAATTCAAAATTTACCCTTGTGATACTTGATTCATAAGATCAATATATTCTCTGGGTAATGAATGCAATTCATTGACTAATATTGGATATTTAACCGGTGATTTACTTGTAGATAAATTCGATATCCAACTATTAATGAGATCATTTGAGAAACGTTCATTTTCTGCATCAAGTAATTTTGATAGGCATATAGGTAAGGCAAGATAGTGACATATGGTTGAATACTCATCAAGTCCTTAGAAAAACAAAATTCGATAAAATTTAATTCTGTTTTTAGAATATCTCTACCTGATTCGGATGGCCATGATGTTCCAGTTAAATGATGATAGAAAAGAGCAGTGCATCGAAGTAGTGGAAATAACGATAGTTTTAATTTATCTCGAATTTCTTCAATTGGTAATAATAGAGCTAAAGACGATGGAGACCTAAAAGAAAAAGTCTTCATAAATTTATTTAGAATACAATAAAAATCTTACGTTTGATTTTTTATAATTTTCTCAACTAATTTTTGTAACGTTTTCAATTCATCATCATCATTGATAGTTTTTTCCATTTTTGCTTGTTGATTATCATTAATTTCTATAGAAACAGAAAAATCATAAGTTTCAGCAGAACCAAAAGTCTCTCTTCATCTGATTAAAATTTACTTGTTTCATATAAAAATCCTTGACTGGAAAGAATTTGTATGCAATGTGCCATAACAATAAGTCGTACAAGATAGAGATCATTGAGATTTCCTGGCGGTACATTTGTTAACGACGGTGACGTTTCTTTTGATGCGAATAAAATTGGTAAAGTAAAACAAAGTGAAACAAGAAGATGAAATAGATCAATATCAATTAATGATGGTATTTGAATATTTGTTCTTGATAAAAGAAGAACTATAGAAGAAACAAGAAAAAAAGCAAAGATTCGTTTTCTATAAATTTCAAATCTATTTTATTAACCAGATAATAACGTTAGACAATGTTTTTTGATTTTATCGCTATCATGTAATGAACCGTAAACAGCAGCAACTTTGATCAAACAAGTAACTAATTCACTTTGCCGAAGTGACAGTTGTGAAAATATTGATTTTGAATCAATACGAAGTAATTGTTCTATTGATTGTATTGTATAGGCACACGACGTCCAAAGAACAGTCGGAATACGATCATTATCTTCATCTGGATCAACATTTAAACCAAACTGTTGAAAACATAAAAATGAATTGAAAAAAAAACAAAATAAATAAAAGTCAAAATTTGTATATTTACCATATAGACATTTTTAGCAAAACTCATTAAACGTTCACGAATACTATCAGAAAAATCTTGTACACTAAAATAAATAGATGAGACATTCATCTAGGAAAAATATGACAACAAGAGAATCGCGCACCGTGAATCTCCAGCAAAACCAAATAATAATTGAAAATTTTGTGCAGCGCGTTCAGCCATCATTTTAGTTATTGTAGTTAATGGACACGGGTTAAAAAAGATTTGTTGCTCATGTGTATCTATTTCATATCGAGATTCAATACTACCATTGAGAGCTTTCTCTAAGCCGTCTATCCATTCGCTAAACGACATTTGAGCCAGTTTTCTGTCATGAGCAAATGTACGTAACGATGGCAAAATCGGTATGATTGTATTACTCAATGTTTGACATAATGGACATAAAAATTCATTTCGTTCAGTATCATAATTTGCTGAGCCACGCATACGTAATGTTCGACGATGATCCTGAGATGTGATAGAATTATAATACCTAAAACAGAAAGTAGATTCGCTCTTATTTTTGCTCATCAATATCTAATGTGTTTTTTTTCAATAAGCGTTTGTCCATGTCGACAAAAATCATCTTATGTAAAAACGTTAAATATTAATTTAATTTACTTAGTCCAACATGAAGCATGTATAGCATGACCACACGACGAAACATGTACACCCCAATGAAGATCATTTGACATAAACGTTGGATCAAATGTATCCCAATTTTCGATACGACGTGAACGAGTCTTTGATAAAACTCTCGAACTGAAAAGAAAATAGGAAATAATGTTAAGAAATTTAAATTGTCTAAAACACTAACTTTTGTACATAAGCTGAAAGAACTATGGCTTCTGAATTAATTTTAACTTCACTATTTTCTTGACAAAATATACATGTTAATATTTGTTTTGCTGATTGAGAAAATTCAAGATCATTTGTACCAAAACATGATTGTATATTTGGGTATGTATCATCAATACTCATCGGTTCAAATTTTAACGGCATAGTTGGTGAAATCGGAAGTATCTGTTGATCAGATGAACTGATCATTGATGATAATTGTGAATATGTTCCTGGTGATGTTGACTCTAATGCTTGATCATCGATACTCTCTGAACATAGTTGAATATTTTTTTCAATAAAATTCTTCTGTAATTCAGTCATCTGTGCTATAATTTTAGCACGCTTTTGCGCAGCTAAATCTTTTCGTTTGCGTTGTTGACGTTTCGTTATGTCTGATGTTTCTTGATTAAAATTAACTGATGTAGAAGAATTTAATTGTTCATTTGTTTCACTAAATCTACTGTAGAGCTAGAACAGAAGGAAAACAGTAAGATCAAAACTGAACAAAATTCGAATTAATACAAACTTTAATAACATATGCAAGCAATTCTTTGCATGTTTCTGCTTTTGATGGTGTATTTAAATGCAATTGATTTATTAATTTATCAAGTTCAAATTTTTGACATTTAGAATAAAATTCGAAGTTCGGTGTACGCTCTTGTTCATAACAAGCTAAAGTCATTAAATGCAAGGCCTATAGTAATCAAACAAAACGAATTTTATTTTAATGATTCATTAGTAAAAAATTTTAAATATTTTTACTCGATTAAGAATAGCTTCAGACCATAATTGAGCCTTTTGATCTGTTGAGCGATAAACACAAGCTTTAAGTAATGTTAAAAATATGTTACTATCAAGAATATGTATTATCGGTTGAAATGATTCGGTGAATAATGGTGGACTAGGGATGAATAATGTTGTTGAGATACCATCATCGGTTTGTTTTCGACGTTTGATGACGTATTCTTCAGACTAAAATGAAAAAAAATCTTTTATGACATGTCGATTCTGAACTGGTGATAAACCGAATCATACAATTAAGTTTTCTTTCGTTTGAAGAACTGAATTATATAGAAGTTTTTGTTTCACGAGAAAAATATGTCATAAAAATTTTCAAAATACGATTTAGAGTCTAGAGATGAGTTTGAAACTTAGGTTTCGACAGCGATGAAAACACAGCATTAGTATGATTATGCATAAATGATGTTTCTTTCAAACTATGTTTAACGTATGAATCATTAGACTTCAAGCATTCGTCACTCTTACTTTGCATTGATCAGCTTTTGTATAATGGTAGTAAAATTGATTGTATTCCGACAGTCGATTTGCTTTTACTTCATAATTTCCTTTTGCTGCATTACCTCTCCTTGAAAATAGGAATTTTATAAAAATTAATAGTTTACTTTTAACAAGATTTTTATTTACTTAAAATCTGCAACTTCTTTTAGAGCAGCTTCAAATTCTCCTGATCCCTAGAAAAAAATTATTTCTTGTAGATGAAAAAAAACACATTGATACGAACTAATTCTATTTGTCCGCAATCTTGTAAACCTCGTATTAATTCTGAATGTGCCATTGGTGATATACATAACTGATGTATGATTTCACGTGTTAATTTCTCTTCACGTGTGACTTTTCCAATAAATGGTTCGTGTCGTTCACCAATAATAATGATCAATAAATGAAGAAATTCTTCCATGATACGAACTTTTTCTTTTACTCTCGATTCTGTTTCGGATGTATGACCATTTTCAGGAGATCTATATTTAAAAAACAATTCAACATTGATATTTTTCTGCAGATTATCGATTTTCGTGATCCATAGTTGGCTGAATAGACCGAATTTTCTATTCTTTCTGATTAACTGATTTTATTCGATGTTTACTTCAAAAGTTTTTAGCTTAGTCTTAAACACAATGAGACTCCCGAGAAAACGACAATCCGTTAATTTATATAGCTACATACCTAATCCATTCTAGTAAATTAAATTTATGCAAAAGTTGAACTAAATATGTATCGGCCGATATTAATGAAGCGCCAACTTGTAAGGCAAGAATATCACGATCATACATTTCTTTTCGACATTTAACATTTGAATAATAATAGATCTAAATAAATGATGTTATTTTTGTTATGAGCATAATCATATATACTTGATTCGACAATGAGTAACCATTTCGTTTCCACAAGCCGGCAACATGTTGAGCGCAAAGAACTTGAATACGTAATGCTTCTTCATATACAAAACATGGGTACATTTGGAGTTTTTCACACTAATAATTAATGAGAAAAATTAAAATTCCAATTAATTTCACCAAACAATGAATACGAACCAGACTATTAAATGTTGTTAATGTATCAGTATATTTATGAAGATGAATATGAAGAGCTAAATAAGAAAAAGGAAATATTAAAGAGTTTGTATAATTTCTGAGAAGAAAAAAGAAACTCAGATGGTTATGAATTCCTTCTATCGTTGATGCCCCCAAGTGTTATGTTTACGATTTTTCCTAATACAGTCTCTCGTTAAATGCCAAGGTTGTCATATTGATTATAGTGTAAAATTATTTTTCCAAGTTTAATAGAATATTTCATTGATATCTATTTTTGAATATAAAGTCGATGTTTAGTATTAACTTTGTTTACTATTCTATATAGCACGCTAATAATTATCGGTGATTAGTTTTCTTCTCTATTTTTGAATGAGATAAAAATATAAATCTTACCAACGAATAATCTCATAACAGGAATATGTACTGTTACTGGATCTTTCGCCACATCATACGCATAACAATCAACTTTGAGATCGTGTACAGTTGTTTTTACCATTGGTGAACTAGTTTTATCTTTAATTAAATGTGATATATCACTTGTTTTTTGTATTTCTACTAATGTTGAACCCGTAGCTTCATAGACACGAAGTAATAATTCTTTCTGTAATAGGTTAAATTTAGAAAACAAATGATGTCATGCAATTTTCTATTGTTCTTACATCATTTGAACACCAATCCAGTACCGATGAAACAATTGATTGAATTTTTATAACTAAATTAAATGCTGTTTCCCATTCGGGATCGAATTCTAAATGTTGACCGACTTGACGTGTAACTTTATCCATACCCTATGCATTCATTCATAATTTATTTCATTGAAAAAATTCTCATGACAATAATTCATTCAAAGCAAAAACGCCGAACTCATATGCATGCATTTCCTAAGAAATCTGATATAAACAATGTACTCTCCAGTCTCTCACTAGAGCCTATTGGTCTAACTACGTTCAGTTACAAATCTGACAGAATCTGTTGTTCATTTTTTTCTTCTTCTCATCGCCTATGACTGGAGAAAAATTTTCAATTTGATATTTCGAATGATTAAAATATCTTTCAAAAAATATCATGTGAGTTTTATAGAAAGCAAAAGATTCTCAATAAAAAAAAGCAAAGCTACTTACATGCATATAACTTAATAATTGAAGAAATGCTCGAAAACCATTTAGAAAATTTTCTCGAAGTTCAATTGAATATTCTTGAGGTACAACGCCCAATAGATATCTTCCAATAGAAAGTGATTATTTCAAGAATTACACAACCATCAATAAATACTTTAAATCGTAGAGAATTGATTGCGCACGTCGAAATTCATGTTGCATAGATGCATTTATTGTTCGTGAAAATAAAAGCTTTCCATGATCTAGTTTCAATTGGCAATATTCAAGAAATGAGTCTACTATCGTTTGAAATGCATTATGCGATGATATAAGATATCTTGCCTAAATATGATATTATTTTTAAAGTTTTCTTTTTCATCAATATAAAAACTCAAATGTATTCATGTCGTTAAATAGAACTTTTTTCTGTTTTTGTTTTATTCTTACAAGACTTTGAGTAGTAAATAATTGTACGGACAAGCTTAGGAAACAATCAGCACGATAGAGCGATGATGGATCATTTCGATAATATCCTGTGATCATCGGATAACACTAGAAATTAGATGGTTAAAATACATCAAATTATTTTTGTTTTTTTAGTTTCATTCGATCGACGAGGAAAAACGAAAATTTTTCTATTTAACGACATGCGCATTACATTGATTTTCTCTTTTTTTTCTTCTAGACTTCATTATTACCAGTGTAGGTACAGTGTAGATTTGAACAGAAAGATCAGTAAATGAAACATATTCATCAGGATCTTTGACAAAATTTCGCCAAACAGTAGAATAATTCTAAATAATTGACGAGATTGAATTATCGTTTTTCCTCGTCGGATACGAAGAACTAAGCACGCAATATGAGTAGCATTTCAAGAAGTATTCAAAAAAGAGTTTTAACTTATGATAAATAATCTTTCACATTCCAGAAGATTTGATCGAAACTCTATTTTATCAAGACTGTTTTAATTTGGTATTCTTTTAAATAACATTGATTACAAAAAGAAAATAGCTTCGACGGATCAGGAAACTTTATCAGCAACTAAATTTAATGACGCCATTGGAAACAATCAAATAATACTAACATCTCTATCTATTTGCTTGTACTTTAGTCTAGCTAAATGTGACTTTTTTTTCCTTATAAGTGTTCTCAATCAGAATTCGTAACCCTGTACAGCAATATCGAAATCTGTTAGTCTGTCACCTCTATAGGTTCGTACATGAGTCTCTCAGAAAGAAAAATATCTGGCAACGTCATTAAGAGAGTTTCCTCTGATTTGTCCGCTAGCAGAAAAACAATGTTATCCTTGAAAATAGACAACTCTATTGTTTGGCATGTTGACTTCGAATTTTTTGCTATCTAACCTGATGATCACAAACAACATCAGGCTACTCATATTGCGTGCAATAATAATGACAATATGAATCTTACTTTCATATATAAAATTGCAAATGTTTTCTTCCATTCTGAATCCATAAAAAAACTAGAAAAAGAAAACTTTCACTTCATTTTTCCATGCTGTCAAATCGCTATTGTCCGTACCTGTTAATAAAAATCTGATGTAAAGCTGCGCGTGCACTTTTCCAAAGCATTTTTTCACTTAATAGCGCTTTCTCTGTTAATGTTAAATCTTGTTGAGTATCACTTTGAACTTCACATTCACAAAATATTCTTCGAAATCCATCTGATATTTCAATTATAGTTTGTAAATAGCTTAAAAGTTTTTGTGCAAAATATTGTAATGATATAAATGCACTCGGATATATTTCACATTTCAGTGGTAGATCGGCTGTGCGCATTTGTATGATTTGTTGAACATCTCGACATTGATCCATCGTGCCAATACGTATTGCAGTACGACCTTCACGATCAACTAATGAAGCTAACTCGTGACCTTCCGGTTTCGAACATTGTATTGCACGGCTAAGGACATTTATTACTTGATCGTATGTATGAATTTCATCATTGAATAAAATAGTTACATATCGTTTATGATCACCATCCCAATATCTACAGGAACAACAACATATTTCAACGCATAAATATTAAAGAATTGAACTTACTCATTTTTTAATTCATTCGGTACATCTTGTGGATTTCCTGTAGAAAGTAATTTAATTATAAAACGAAGTAAAATAGTAAATAGGTGTTTAGCACGTAAACGCAAATCAGATGGCAAACGATTAAGTACATCATCAGCTGAATCATTATTATCATCATGTGGTAAATGTAAATTACAATGAACATTCTGTTTCCATGCTTCACTATCTCCACAATCACAATAACCACCACCGGCGGATACATTCATCTAAATAGCAATAAACAAAAAGTATTTTTACACGTTGACAAAATTCAAAACTTTATTTCTATACTTTATAACGATGTTTTCGATGTTCACTTTGAAGGAAACAATCGGTACATAAAACGCATGTAGGATCAACGCAACAGTCTCGACAAAAATATGTTGGCTCCTCTGATTTGAATAAATGTCCGCATACAGTAGATTTTTTATTATATGAACGTATGACTTGTATAGCTTCATCGGTATTTAATGTTCCATATAAATATATATCAAATGGTCGAAATAGAATTTCGTCTGCACGTTGTTCAACAATTCCTTTGATTAAATTTGTATGAAATATAAAACATTGAGGTACAAAGGTTCTCCAATGTTGATATAGGATTTTCTCCATACTATCATATTCAGTTTTATGAAGTAGTTCTTCGCCAAATTTATTTCCATCGAAATTTATTAATTCGTCTGATATGGGTGGTAAATCAATATTTGTTGTTAAACTACTATTACTATTATCATCTTCAGCTAATGCCATGTTAATAGCTTCTTGAACATTAGCTGCTGTTATTTCAACATCAAGCATAAATTCATCGTTGTCGGATAAATCGATTGAATCTGCATCATCCATAGCCGATAAATAAGAAAAACAAAATCGTTTTACGTAATTGGGGAAAAAACTTATCTAAAATGATTAGTTATAAAACATCTGGGTGATGAGATTATTATTTTTTTTTCTTGTTTGAATGAATGTTTTCAAATGTCCTAATTGGTGCAGTCACATGCGATTTTCAATGAAAAGGATAGTAGCGCTCTCATGTAATGTATCAAATATGGCTGAGATGAGTATAGATGGCAGCTAAAGACAGATTCTGGTCTCGGGATTATCGCGTATTCGTTTGATCGTCAAATGAACAATGATAAGAAAAAAAGTTTCTAAATGTAATCTGAATAAAACCTCGGAAAATGAAATAGACATTATGCAATTGAACTTGTACTCTCATTTACAATCTTTATTCATGTACCGAATGATGGAGAATTTCAAGTGCTAAAAACAATTCAACGGTGTCGATTCGCTATACAATTTAATAGAAACACATAAGGGTAAGGATGGTGTGTCTCAAGTTAATAACTTGAATTACAGGTAAAAAGTTAGATATTAAAAGTGAAGAGTTTTCTTTCACATTCTGTTTATTGACCTTCAGAGATAGTCAAAAATTATGTTCTTTTTCTTTCAGAAGACTAAAAATAAAATACAACTCTCTGGAAGGTTAGGTGCTTAATCCATTGCTATGCGACATGTTTTAGTCAAAATTAATAAAATATCGAGTTTTTCAATAGAGAATGTGAACATTATACATGTATTAGGCTCTATTTATGTTTGAATCGTTCACAAGTGAAAATACATAGCTTTTCCAATTTGATAAAGTGATTTGAATGTAAACATGGAAGGTAATTGTTGCAGTAGTTTACATCTTTACATCATTTGAAGTCACTACATTTTTCTGTTGTAAAAAGAAAGCCATTCGGATAGAGTCAATTCTAGAGAGAGAGAGAGAGAGAGAGAGAGAGAGAGAATGATGAACATTTGTAAAACAATATCTAGCAAATTTGCGTTTATTTGCTGATATCTCAAATACTATTCTTTTCCTAACTGGTATCCGAAGATTTAGTTTCTATTAGACCTTTAAGAAGGTATCTCTAGAGGACTATGAACATGAAGTTTCAAGATGCTCTATGGATAATTTTTTCAGACGAAATTCAACAAAATAATCAGAAGTCAACTTCAAATGGTCATAACCAAGAATCCTGATCGAGCTAATATGAACTCAAACGGTAAGTATGCATTTAAGTGGTTTCTTTCTCACACTTCAGCTTCCAGAGATATTCCCTAGATAAATCTAGAAAAAACGAGATACCATACTAAACCACAAAAAAAACATTTAATTCTCTCTCAACATACAGCTCTTCTCCACGGTGAAGACCTAGAGAAAAACATGCAACTATTAAGCAAAAATACGAAGAGAATTTTTCGATAATAAAAAAAAATCAAGCCTTAACTATAATCATTGCTCGAGATACCAATAATGTATTGATTAGCTATTCGGTCTGTTGCTTCTGTTCATTAGTATTCAATTCATTTTTTTTTGCAAAACAATATTTTCTATGTAAAATAATCAAACAAAGAAAAAAATTATATATGATGATGATTTCTTATTAAAAGAAAACTTTAATTTGAACAAAAAAAAACAAACAAAATAAGCAATTTTTGCATTCCAACAAGTTAATCTCTTTCAATGTTCACGGTGAAAATAATAATAATAGAACTTTATCATGAATAAGATCAACTATCGTGTCGACTATAGATGATTAAACACGAGATAGATCTATCAATAGAGGTCACTCTTATCATTCTATCTCTGTTCTAATTCGTGCTTGTTTGACGTCCATCCAGTGGATCGTTATAAGACATGGATTGATGTGTTTTGTTTATTTATTTATTTATTTACTTGTTCATTTAGAACTACGTCATCCTCTAATTCAGGCACGTGCATATAAGGTGAATTGAAAAAGAATTTCTCGTTCATTTCAAAGCACAAACAATGCAAACAATAAAATGTGTTGTAGTAGGCGATGGTGCTGTTGGTATGACTATTAATTCATTTTTTTGTTTTTATTTCTAATTTTCTTCATAATTATTACTCATAGGTAAAACATGTCTATTAATTAGTTATACAACGAACAAATTCCCAAGTGAATATGTGCCAACTGTAAGTATTGGTTTATAAATGAGAAAATTTGAAAAATAAAATCATAATGGTTATTATTATTATTATTATTATGTTCAACAGGTGTTTGACAACTATGCTGTTACTGTAATGATTGGTGGAGAACCATATACATTAGGATTATTTGATACGGCTGGTATGATATTATTGTTTTTATAATGATTCTTTTTTAATTTTCAAAAATTTAGGTCAGGAAGATTATGATCGTCTCCGTCCATTGAGTTATCCACAAACGGATGTATTCTTAGTATGCTTCAGTGTTGTTTCACCGTCATCGTTTGAAAACGTTCGTGAAAAAGTACGTAAAAAAACATTTAATTACTAGATTAAAAAAGAACAAGTTTTTTTTCCAAACATACGTCCAAATCCCTTGAGTATTCTTATATGCATTCAAATTAATTTGCATATTCCATTATCATAATATCAAATGACAGATCGTAACCTTGACCTAATCAAATCGATTTTTGATATGAGAATGAATTATTCTAATCAGTAGGGCGTGACGCCTGTTGTTTCTGTAATTCGACTTTAATTTGGTCGATTCTACTATGTAAACTTTGTTTTGTTAAATAGTGGGTACCAGAAATTTCTCATCACTGTGCTAAAACACCATTTTTACTTGTTGGTACTCAAATCGATCTTCGAGAAGATCCAAATACAATGGAAAAATTACAAAAATCGCGCCAAAAACCAACATCATGTGACCAAGGTGATAAATTAGCACGAGAACTTAAAGCGGTTAAATATGTTGAATGCAGTGCATTAACACAAGTAAGATTCAGACTATTTTAGGAAAAGATTTTCTTAATAAAAATGTGTTTTTTTTCCTATCGTTTATAGAAAGGTTTGAAGAATGTATTCGATGAAGCAATATTAGCTGCGCTTGAACCACCCAAGAAATCAAAGAAAACAACATGTGCACTACTATAAATAATAAAAATTAGAACTTTATAGTTGCTAAACGACCAAAAAGTGAAAAACAATTTGTTCGTATCTATCCTTTTTTTCAACTTATCTAATCTTTTTTCTTTTCTTTTGTTATCTATTTGTGAGATTTTGGTTTCTTCTATTAGATGTATGTGCTTGTCTATTTCATGTTTTCTTTTGTCTAAGTATTATTGAGAAACGTCGTTTCTTTCGTCGAACCTTACCCAAAACGAAACCAATTGTTCCTATGTTCTTTTTTGCCCTGTCTCGTTTCTCTGGCTTATATTATTGAATAATCTCATATAATCTTGTGTGTGTTCCATCATCAACTATATATATATACATATATATATATATTTATATACAATATACATGTTCATTTCTTGTCTTGTGTTCTTTTTTTTAATCTGTATATCAGCATAATATCTTTTACTTGGTCTCTATCAATAATATAACGAATTCAAACTTTCTATGGAAGCAAACTGAATAGTTTTTATTTAAATCAAACCACAAGTTAGAAGGAAAAAGACAAAGCGTGTTTTCTTGTTTAAATCATATTGTACGTGGAGATATGATATAGATAGAAGTTAACCATTGCTTGGAGTTTTGACAATTTTATTGTTGGCATCAACAAATAATCGAACACGTTCGGTACGATAGTCACGAGTACACGGAGAACATTCTGACAAGATTTCAGGCTCGAAACCTAAATAATTGAAAAGGTCTACATATCGACAGTGATATATTTAATTAGGTTACCTTGTTCTGTTAGTATTTTTGAAACTTCATTGGCACATCTGCCAACAAATTCAGGCCAGTTTTTTGATTCGTCACACATTTTTATTTATTGCGGTGAAAATAAAAAGTGAATATTTTTTGCCTCTGGTATTTATACATCATTTTATCGTTGCGCTTATCTTGTAGTCATAGAATGTGTGCGTGATGTCTGATATTTGCATATTCTGTTTATTTATATTCATGACATTCATTTTCACACAACACTGATATCCCATTGATCGCTTGTATGAAAGCGGTAGGAACGGCATTTTCGAAATAAAAATGAGACCAACGTTTTTAGATTGTATAATGTCAACAAACGCTCTAACGAGCATAATAAATAAACAAATTAGCGCATTAGTAATATGCATTAGATAGTGAATCAGAGAAAAGAAAAAGATAAAGTCAATTTTGAATTTTTGGTATCTACAAGTTAGGATTCATATTTCACCCACCTTCTAATACAAAAAGGAGATAACAATTAAACCTACATACCTATAACAGCAATAGAATCTGGTGCAAAATTATTTGACTATGATATGAGTTTATGATTAGTAATAGCTAACATATCCTGAAATCAGATAATAAAAATTGCTGCTATTAAAGTTAGTTTTTTATTGATACTTGATTTATGAGTGCATCTTTTATGGCCTAGATCGCACATAAAAGCATATCTACACGATCATCAAGGGTACGAAAAAAACAGATTTCAAATAAAAAAATTAGTGCGAATATTGTAAAATTTTCTTTGATACATGCGAACATGTATTTCATGATACGAAGTCCTATCGATTCTGCCGGCTTGAAGCGATCTGAAAGTCAATAGAAATTGAGTAACAATCTCAATGACAAGGACACTTGAGATAAGTTCTTTTTAATGATCTTTTTTGTTCATAAAACTTGAGCGAGAAAAAGACTTCAACAGATGTAGATTTTTTGGATTGAGAGTGTACATAGAAGTACATTAGATTGAATTTTTGCAGTGGTAAAATACTTAGGGAATATTTTGCGAAAAATGATTCTAAAATGTTACCATTGTTTTCATAGAATCTTAAGGTTTTAAAATTTAGGATACGTTCAATTGCTTGATTCTTCGCTGTTACTATCAGAAAAATCATTTTGATCAGTTAAAATATAGAATTCATATTCAAATTCGTTTTGATACTATTTAGAAAGAATAATATTGAGATCTTTGGGAGAAGAAAAAGAACCGAATGAGATTCCATTCAAAAACCAATTTTTGCTTATAATATTCATGAGGAGTTTTTAGAATATCTCAGAATTTTCACGGTGAATCGATAATATTCTTAGAAGATATGAAACAAAAGTGTTAAAAATTCTCTATGGATTCTCATTCTCCAGATGTATCCTTGTATTTTGAAGAGAATATTTAATTTGAGCTCGTTTGCTTGTTTCTATGCGAAGATAAAATTTGAGTATGATATGCCCTAAAAAAATATTGACCAACATTATTTATTTAAGCGAGCACTTTTCTTTAATAATAGTAATGAAAAAATATCTCCACAGGTGTTTATTGAAACTTCATGGCCTTTTACAACTACAAGAAACAATACAATGAAAAGTCCTCGAGACTTCTCGAATAAGCAGAGAAAAAGAAAACAAGCATCGCTTTTGTTTTGAGCGAAAAGAACTAAAATTTAGAAGAGACATCATTGCACATAACTACAGTCTGCTAGTATTTTGATGGTCCCACTATTGTTTTTTTTAAAAGTGGCAAATTTTTATGCTGACTTATTTTTTATTTTTTAGCCTAATGAAAGAAAAAACACAAAAATCTCTATTAATTCATCCAAGCTCAACTCATTGTGAGTTTATCCTTTCAACATTATCATTTGATCACTTCTAATTGTCGTTCAACTTCAGCAAAATCTTGAATACATTGTTGAAGATCAATTTTTGAATGAGCCGCTGAGATTTGTACTCGAATACGTGCACGATCTTTTCGTACCTATATTAAATAATAGATTTTCATCAGATAAAAAAGTAATAAAGATTGCATAATTACAACTGGATAACTGAAATCAATCACATAAATTCCTCGTTTTAACATTTCATCAGCGAATCGACTTGCTAATCAAGCACCACCTAACATGACTGGACAAATTGGATGATTGTCACCTAAGATCTTTAATATAATTAAAATAAAAATTTGAAAAACTCTATTCATAAACATCAATACTTTAAAACCGAAATTTTACATTTCAGTTCGAAAAAATAGTTTGCATTTTCAGCTACTGGTCCCGGTAGACTAGAATTATTTTCAATTAAATCAATTGCTTTTACAGCACTGGCTACAATCGGACTAAAAGATAAACGATTATTTTCGAATACATGATTTCGAAAAGTTAACAAATGGTGGAAGTGTATCTGAAAAAAGATATGGTCTTGAACGTTGTTGTAATAAATCAATAAGAGCTTTGGAACCTGTTGTATATTCACCAGCTGCACCACCTAATGCTTTACCTAATATTGAATTAATAATATCAATTGTTCCAATCATATTAAAATATTCTTCTGTCTCTCGACCTGTTCGACCAAAAAATCTTCAAGATAACCAATAAAATTATTTTGCTTTTGCATTAAAATCAAATATTTATTTTACCCTGTGGCATGACACTCATCAACAAAAACTAGTACATTGTATTTATCTGCCAAACATTTTATATCTGGTAATGGAGCTATAGTTCCGTCCATGAAAAAGACACCAGCAGTAGAAATTAATCGAATACAAATTATCATTGTTTTCATTAAAACTTTCTTTCAATTTCAATGCAAGATCTGACATATCTTTGTGTTTATAACGTAAACGTTTAGCTTTACATAAACGAATACCATCAATAATTGATACATGATTTAATTCATCCTATATCATTTAAATTAAGTTAGATCGCAACATTTCTTTTATCAAGCACATAGAAAACAAAAAAAAAACACTTCTGCGTCTATTGTTTGAACTATTCTCCAATGTATTATAATAGAAGAAATGTTGTTATATTCGACATATTTCTATTCTCTCAAGATTAGAATTCATATAGCAGCTAGCATTTATATTCAGACCATAAGAATATTGTAATCTCTCTTACACTAATAATATAATCTTGCTCTTTGAGTAATGTTTCAAATATTCCAATATTGGCATCAAAACAAGATATATATATATATAGTATAGCATCTTCACGTCGATGAAATTTTGAAATACGTTGTTTAACTAATTCAATAAATATTGTTATTTATACGTATTTCTATTAAATAGCAATAAATTTGTTTCTTATTTAAGCACTAGCTGCGATCATAAGATCCTAACAGTACCACAGATGAAAAGAGAAGAAAGAAATAATGAGACAACCACATAGAGAATGAAACGAAGAACAACGCAGAGAACAAACAAAAGAAAAAAGAACGGACATACATATAGAACCAACTACACACAGCACACAAAAAAAGTTAAAACAGAGAACAGCTTTATTAACAGAAAGAATCAGGAAAAAGAAGAAATAAATCTATTTCAGAAATATCATAATCGGGTATAGAAGAGTTAGAAGGTACTGACGAGAATCAAGTTAAAACCTTTTCTAATATTGATGATTGGGGGAAAAATCTTTTAGACCTTCTTAATCCCTTGATAGAAAATTCATTATCTAACCAGCTTTTCCTAAATTCTGCACGATTAGTTTTTTCAAAAATTAGATTTCCATCAGTTGAATTAGATGAAGCTCTAATGTACCGATTCCAATATGTGAAAAAGCGAGCTTCTAAAGATATTTCATCAAGAATATAGGAAATAAATGCTTCATTCCACTCCAAGCAGCATAGAGCACGACGGAGCGAGGAGTAATAAAATTTAGAGAAGTCCTCCTGTTGATTCCGAGTAATAATAACAATAAAATTATACTTACGTTGCTTATGTATTGTTTGGATATCACAAACAAAATCTAACTGAACTAAGATCCGAACCACAATCGTCAAGTGCTTGTTTAGCTGTTGTAATAATTTCACGATTATTTGCCAAACTCAAATAATTATTGGCACAAAAATTTAAAAGATCATCTTTAGAATTTTCTATTTTGATATGTGAACTTTGCCTTGTGGAAATAATTCGTTCGGATTTTCATGTACCCGCTTTTCGAATTGAATCAAGTTCAACATTTAAACGATGTTTTATAACTTCAGCTAAAGTTGAAATACAACGCATTGATGCATGTCGTAGTGATAGTAGCAATGAACATGTGGACAGCTTTCTTCTTTTCTTTCACTAGAGTAGAGTGCGGCTATCGCATATGAAAATCGCTCTTCTTTTCTGTACCTATCATAACTCGGTCAATTTTAAGAATTCTTTTCTATTTTTTTTAAACGGCTAGTTAAATGTCTTCTCTACAAACTTGTGTAAAAATTACCAAAAACAGATAATCGAAAATTGTTGAATCGTTCTTGTACTAATTTAGTAGCCCCTACAAATAATATGCAATTGTCTCATATGGGATAATTGCAAATAATAGCTGTGTGATGTGGGGTAATTGCATATTCCCAGCTATTTTACATGGAATCGCTTAAAATCGGTTTCCTCGTCACCCTTAAAAGATTGATTAATTACTGTTTCACAGATCGATGGAGAAAGTGATTTTCTTCAAACGGTGAGAATCTTACTGTTAGGCTTATCATAATGTTCCAACAGTTATCGAAATAAAATTTTATGCTTTTCCCCCAATTGAGGTAATTGCATACACGTACAGAAAGAGTGGGGTAATTGCAGATAGCTAGCTAAAATGACTGAGAAAATTCAAATATGACGTAAATCAGTTTTTGATAAACGTGTAGGTGCTGTTCAAAATTGTTCGGCACTTAAAAGATATAAAAAATGAATTCATATTAATGTAGATCAATTGCCGCTTTTTCTTTTCAAAACTAAACTAAAAAATAACAATTACAGTTATGAATAAACAATTTTTTGCGAAAATTTTCGAATTTTACATAATTGGGATTAGCGTGATTTTACAATAACAGATTTTTTTCAAAGATTCATTATTATTGCATGTAATATTCAAAATAAAAACAATATTACAAATATGGAGTGATAGCAGAAATCCTGTTACACCCAGTAACGACGACGTTTACTGCACTCAATCCTACCGACCCAGGTCGAGCATTACGACAGCTAGATACGGCCGTTTACGACTCAGGATGATTGACCTGGGGAATATGCTTCAGAGCTTATCAAGCGTTCGGCACATATTCAGTTTATCACCCTAACATATAACTGTATGCTTCCAGTCGAGGAATTGGATTTATTCAGGTGTATTATGTTCAAGCATAACGACTTTGATTTCCTAAGAATAATACACCAAAACAACTCGAAGTCTTCAACTTATAGCACATAATTATACGTTAAAGTATCGATGTGGATAATTTTGGAGTATAATAACACAAAATGAATTATACGGGTATTATGACGTTGAAATCTCGATACGCAATTTAATGGTATCATAGCATCTGCTTCTTCGTTGTAGTTTGATTAGTTTTCAGATCTTGCAGCGATACATTTTTACAGATTTTGTTACGATGTATCCTCGTTGTCGTTCTTTTGATTGAAATCCCTGTTTTTCAATATTTACGTCGATCAGATCACATTCACGTCATTTTCACGTGTTACTCTGTTATACAAAACTTTACTTGAAACTTTATGGAACTATTTATTGAATATTTCCTATCAAAGGAAAAAAGATCGTAAAATTTTTATTTATTGCGACCAGTCTTCTTATTTTTAATCAATTTAAGTTTCGATTATTTCGACTTAATTGATTTTGAAAGGAACTATTGTATCACTAGTGATCATCACCAGTACTTCGGCGATATCGATATCATACAGTTTCCGAGAATACCTAGCTATATTAAATATTGTATTTCCTTATTGTAACACTTGAGTCGATTTACTAAATTTTCTTTCAAACACTTTTAACTATTTGAAAAAGAATTAACTAATGATTTCAATGTGCTACTATTGATCAACATACTTTTATGAAAGTTCCATCCTGAACAAAAATACCATGATAAGACTTAAAATGTTCTGATTTGTATCAATATTCCTGATTTTCCCCCCCAAAATGTGACCTGTCTATTCTTCAAAGTTTTAGACAGGGCACTACAATCCCTGAGTTTCGTTTACAAATGTGATTATATATAATTAATATCTTTTTTTAAACAATGAATGTATTCAAACAGTGGTAGTTGTTATAAAATTAAAAAAACAAACGATCAACAAATATTTACGGTGTAGTGGAACTATTTTTATTCTTTTCTTCTCGTCATTTCATACAAAACGAATTGACTAGTACATAGCATCTGTCTGAATAGCCGTAATGTGAGTGCAAAGAGGAAACGAACAGAATTCTAGACATAACATTTTTATTTTCGGACAAATTTCCATAAAAATCGAAAATTTTCGCAAACAATTGTTTATTCATAACTGTAATTGTTATTTTTTAGTTTATTTTTGAAAAGAAAAAAGCTGTTAGCGCAATGCCTGTGGGATTAAAATGTGAAACACGNGATAACTGTTGGAACATTATGATAAGCCTAACAGTAAGATTCTCACCGTTTGAAGAAAATCACTTTCTCCATCGATCTGTGAAACCGTAATTAATCAATCTTTTAAGGGTGATGAGGAAACCGATTTTAAGTGATTCCATGTAAAATAGCTGGGAATATGCAATTAACCCACATCACGCAGCTATTATTTGGAATTATACTCCATATGATGCAATTACATATTATTTGTAGAGGCTACTAGTACAAGAACGATTCAACAACTTTCGATAATCTGTTTTTGGTAATTTTTACACAAGTTTGTAGAGAAGACATTTAACTAGCCGTTAAAAAAATTAGAAAAGAATTCTTAAAATTGACCGAGTTATGATAGGTACAGAAAAGAAGAGCGATTTTTCATATGCAATAGCCTCACTCTACTCTATACAAACTGATTACATTTGAGAAACAAAAACGACAAAGATTTTATGGGATTGATCTCGCGGTTTATTCAGTATGAAAGAAAAAAAAGAATACTGTAGTACAGAAATATATATATATATATATATATATATATATTCATATAGGTCTACATTTTAATTGCACAAATCGGTCGAACACATCGCAAAGCAATCAAGTCCACGTAAACGTTTTCGACAGGTTCTTTCTGTATTACCGATTAATTTTTTGATTAAATTATATTCAGGAGACTTAACTGATAGACAATTACGTAGAACTCCAGTGTCACTTCCTATTTAGCAGAAACAAAAAAGTATAAACTCAAATACACAAAAACAAATTATTTACCACTGCGATAAAACCAGGAATAACAAAGATCATCATAATTTTCACAGTCACGTATTCTGGTATGTTGCGCAAATAAACACGATCCACTTTCTTCACATACTCTACATTGAAGTCCATTACCTTAATGAATTCGTAATCAAAGTAGATCTGCTAAATTTAAGAGAAAGAATAAATAGTTACTTTGGGACATTATGTAGCAGAGAACAAGCAAGAAAAGAGTAAGACTATGCTTCATTATAGTCGTTGACTGTGACGTAAAATGAGTAACTTTTAAAAAGAAATCAACATTTCTATGTTTGTGCCATTATATATAATATACGAAGAGCTATTTACTTTACCATGTCATCATCATCATCATCATTATCGAGAGAGAAAGAGAGAGAGAGAGAGAGAGAGAGAGAAGAAAAAACTTATTTTCTTAAAAGCATGTAATAGAAAAGAAAGAAACAAGCTATTGCATCATATTTTATTTATTATAACTGAAAAAGAAAACTTGCATTTGTTCAATGGCAAAAGCGTAAGGTGTAGCGAGTAGTCACAAAAATCAATTTTGTGTATATTTATTAGACACCACGAATCGTAATATTTCTATATACAGTAAACCGGAGCGAGTAAACAGTGAAATAATTTGAATCAAATTTTATCGAACTTTGAAAAACATTCTTAAGAACGATGTATGAATTTTAAGCCTGTTGCAGATGAGTGAAAGATTAGGTTTTGTTTTCTAGAAATAGCTCTTTGTTCCAGTAAACTTGAAAATAGTTATTTTTGAAGAAAATATGAGCAAAAATATACAAAAAAACGATCGTATAAGTAGTTGTGCCTATCTATATGAAACACATTGGTCATTAACAATAAACCGAAGGAAATAAGATTATGAATCTTTATGATAATTATCTCCTGGGAGTATTATATACTTCAGTTTATTAGTTTTTTTCTTGTAGTAACCATAAAAATATTTTAGCATTCATTGTTAAAACTCATGAAATTTTTATAACATATGTCAAGCTTGCCATAACTTTAAAAAAAAAACTTTTCAAGCAATTTTCTAATGGTAAATATAAGTTATCATGAATTTTCTTTCAAAATTCTTAGCTGATCTTACTTTTATCATACTATTCTGAAATTAGACTTACGCTGTACATTTAAGAACATGATAACATCGGCGGGTCAGCGTCTCATATGGAGGTGTGGCAATAAATAATAATACCAATTTTTTTAAAAAGACATTTGTGAATTATTCTTAAGGTACCATACATTTCATTTTGTGAAATACAATGCAAGACAATTTTTGAATATTTGTGGCGAATCACACCCCGTCTCATCTCCCAGCTATCGCGACACCCTTGGATATATCCACTAATAATTCTTCATGTACCACAATATTTTTTTAGGTGTGGAAATTGCCACCAATTGCCCTCTGGTGACCCGCCGATGCATGATAACCATATCAATAGATAAATATTCAGTTAGTAGATAATATTAGCTATATGAAGCAAAAGTCATGAGTTTATTAAACTAGAAACCTATTCGTTGTACTTCAATGTGAGAAAAAAAAGAGTTCAATTGACGATCTGAATCAAAGTTTGAGAATTGTCATGTTAGTCAGTCATGTGAAGACAATCAAGACAACTTCAATGAAAAAATTTAGAGTAACATCTGATGATCATTGTCGTTTTCAATAATTACACTACGAAGAAATTAGCCAATACATAAATTTTCTTCAGTGTTAATGCAAAGGTTCAAATATCAATACAGTGCTTCCAACCTTCTGCAAATTGTTATCACTTAAACTATAAACCAATCAAATATTTTAGTGAGGAATTCAGCATTATAAAGATAAATAATTGAACTAATATGGAGAAATATTCAATGCGTAATAAATAAAAAGTGTCATACGGCTTGTCCAAACGTAAAGCTGTGACATTTTGACAAATTGTGTTGCAATTATCTCGAAAGGTATAAGAGCTAATAAGATCGTTCAAACGTCATTCGACGCAGCTTATCATACTCTATTTATGTTGAAAGGATGACCTAGCCTGACTGAACTCGCGCTTCTAGAAAGGTTTTATCATCGCGTAACATTGTGGTAAAAAAGACCTTTTTTCTAAGGCTGCTTATAAAGCTCTAATTTTTTGACAAATCATTTCTTCAAATGAAGTCTCATGTAACTTTTTTTCGAATCCCAACGCATCTCTGAGCGTTTGTGAACGATGGCACTTCACGCACCAGGACGCATCTAGAATGCAACATTTTCGGGGGCGCAGACACATCCAGGGTAACCTGACGCGTCTACACTCGTTCATTACCCAAACGTATCAAAAGTCATTTGCATTGGAAGACGCGTTAGGACTCGTCCAAAATGCAACATTTTCAAGCGTGGGAACGTGCCTAAACTCCTCTGGATAAAAGATGCGTTAGAACACGTTTACTTTTTCCCCTCCAAAAAATTAAAAATTATCAACACTGTCAGAATTGAGCCGATGAATCATATTAAACTATGATATAACACCCACATGCCATGAGCAACAGAGTGGTAATTTTTCCAACGATCCCAGGACGAGCTTTACGACGTCCGTATACGGTGAAATACGGGCCGTATACGGCCGTTTTCTGCCGTATACGACGGTAAATCGCCGTATTTGGCCGTATTACATGGCTCCGTATTACGATCGTAAATCTCCGTGTCGTAATACGGTGAAATACGATCAAAAACGACCGTAAAGCGCCGTATTTCGCCGTATACGGCACGGAGATTTACGATCGTAATACGGAGCCATGTAATACGGCCAAATACGGCGATTTACCGTCATATACGACCGTGTATGTTCGACCTGGGATAGCGTGAACCAAGATTTGAATCCATGAACAGTTGATTACAAGCCGAACATAGCTTGCGCTGAGTCATACATTGCTTGATATTGTTATCATCTTCATGAATCACATGAATTAATCGTTTTACAATGCTTTTGACATGTCTTGCTTTTTAAAATAAATATAGCTAGGATATTTATTTTAATGAAATTAAGATAAGGCATTCTTTGTATCCATGAAATAACAGTGGGAAAAAATTCAAAATTTTGGTTACTGAAAAAATTAAGAAAAACAAATATATCTGTCTTTGAACGGTATAAATGTACATATACGCAGTGTAATAATATTAATTAACATTTTATCCATCAGTATAAGGACACTATAACAACTATTTTTTTTTATAGACAATGAAAACGATATATCACAACACATAAAATTAAAAAATCTTGTTTGTGTATTTTTTCATAACCGTCATACTGTAATCTTTTAAGTCATCCATCGGAAATAGAATGAATGATCTTATAGTATTAAGAATTTTTTATACTTACTTAATTTGTTTTTTTTTAGAACAGAATATTGATCAATATTTGAATTAAAATATTAAAAAAATTCTTCGTTTTGAATTTTTTAAATAGCTACGGTGCATTTTTTTTCGTTTTTCTTAACTTTATAAAATAAGTTTTACTTCGAAGCATTGTTCATTATAAGCAACAATAAAGATAATTATACTAAACTCTGCATCAAAGAACATTTTTGTCCAGTTTTTATTTTAAAAGCATTTGAAAGTAAAAACATAATACGCATCTAATTTACTTAGTTATTTACGGCAATGATGATGAAAATCCTAACAATGATGTCAAGATAATAATCTATCGTGTGTGTAACAGAAATTACGTCCGAGTTTAAGGAAACAGAAGCATACAGTTGTATTTATAGCCTAATATTTTTAATAAAAGCATTCGAATAGAAATGCATTATCACAGAAATACTCATTTGATAAAAGCAATGTGTTAAACCAAACCTTATTTGATTCAATCCTCAATATATAAACGAAGACCGAATATTAGAGTTCAAAAGAAAAAATATCATGGATATCATATACGTATTCAATAAAACTACATAGATTTCTTTTTTGCTTAACTGAACCAATAAGGGACTCTTTTTTACCGCTAATTAGCAGCTTACAAAGACGAAATGTAACACAAAGGTTTTGCTCCTAGTTCAATGTAGCATTTTAACTAGAGTAAACTCCGTTGTACTCAAGTCTACTTTTGTATAAATGCAGATTTAGATATTTATCATGCTTAGGTATGAACTAAAATCAAAACTAGTTTTGAAGTTTTGGTTTTAGTTTCGAAATATAATCTTTTTCGACGTATTTCAAAATGAAAACGAAAACGAAAACCTCAAAACCAAAAATATTAGATTCGCTGCATGTCTGACCGCTCTTCATTGACAGTACCTACTATATAACTATGAATTCAGTTGTGTTTCGGAAAGAGTGTGTAATGAAGCGCGTTTTCGGCATTTCATGAGCTCACTCATACCTCCGTGAAACGCGTTGTATCTACTTCGTCGATTTTACTGTGCTTATTGGATAGCAAATGAATTGCGCTTCAATTGTGGTACAAGATCTAACACAAGAAAAGACACAGATTGTGTTCACACGCGTTTTAAAATAGGCATTTAAACGCGTTTGTATACGTTTGCTCTGATTAACGCTAATGAACTCGTCGAAGTTCTTTAAACGCGTTTAAAAAGATAATTACAAACGCCTTTATCTGCGTTTTTATCATAACTCGATACCGAAACGCATCAGGACGCCAAAATTTACAACATAAGCGCATCTAACTGCGTCTAAAATGTGTTTTGAGATTACATGGGTGCTTATGGCGCCAGTTTCGTAGAGAATTGAATGGGCTTTCAAGCAGTGAAAAATATTTTTTGTAAACTATTTTCGCACAGATTAAAAATGCAAAAAACAAACGTAACGCTGTGACACTTTTTTTGTCGACCAAACTTTAAGCCCTTAACATGCTTAAAAATATTTAATGTTTATACATATTGATCGCTGCCCTGCATATATCTTTCTGTAAAAAAAATCAAGTTGCTACATCGAAATACGAGCTCGATAATTGTCTAGTAAGCTAGAAACTGTACAACAGCTTAGAAGTTGTCCTGAAGAATGAGAGTAAAACATTAATAGGACATTTTGTAGAGAGTCAAATTCTGCATCGAATGGTATATTATTCTGCATTTTGTTTTAAATTTCGTGGTTAGAAAATTGAAAATACAGTTTTTAAAAACTTTAAAACCCGATTTCGACGCCAAAATTCTATTTTTTTAAAGGAAAAAGTCCAAATTCACAATCAGCGTAAAACAACTATACCAGAAAATACGATTAGATCAGTTTATATCGAAAAAATAAATTTTTAAAACGTGATCAACGAAGTAGCGCGTTACGTGGACACGCCGCATAGTGAATTAGTTCGTTTCCTTTGGCAAAACAACAGAAATGGAGAGCAGATCGATTAATTACTAGTATTGAAAATAAGTTCATTCGTCAACGAAACCATATATAATGCTGAGTAACTGCATTAAATGTTTTCCAGTAAATTGATCAACGCCTTTTTCAAATTGAAATTTTAGTTACACAAATTACAGCCTAATAGAACAACTTACTCTCTACAATATAGTTATTTGGTATTGTAACGTTTCTATGAAGATAACTTTTTCAATAATGGAAATCAGCTGCAAAACTTCGATGAAAGATACTTTTCAATCTGATGTTTTGCCCTTGTATTATCCAGCATTGTATTAAGTAGAATACTAGAAAAGTTTTATATGCACTACTGTGAGATCATCATACTGGTTGACTTCTACATAGAATAATTACAAGTCCATCGTACTCTAGATTGTGATTCATGAAATTTTAAATAAATATCGAATATATTATTTTATTTTATTTACATATTCTTACTAGGTTTTAAATAAAGTAAAATCCGTGTCTTTAACTTAACTATCGTTAAATAGATAGTCATACCATTTTACAACACGCTGCATAAAATTTTGTTGGATACATCTTTATTGTCGGAAATGTAGATTGAATCTCTTTTTGGAGCCCAAGCGATTTGTTTCTCTTCTTCATGCTATGTATAACTTGACAGAGATATGTAAGTGGAGTAATGATAATAGGCTTTGATGCCAATTTTCGTGAATGACAGTTTAGAATAATATTCAATGTCAGCAACCTGTATAAAAGTCATTTGCATGACTCTACTCTGAGTACTGCAATTAATTTCTGGTTTGTATGGTATCAAAGTTGGTATCGGAGGTTACAATTTACTAAATGGGTCACGATATATATATATGTGTGCGTGGCGTATTTCTCTCTCTCGCTCTCTCTCTCTATATATATATATCGAAAGAAACGTCTCCCGAATACTTTTTTTTCTAATTTGAACATAAAAATTGTTCAAGCAAATTGATTTATCTAATTACGAGGATACTTATCTTGTACTTATAAATGAGGACACGTCGTTGCACTCTTGATTCTCGTTCATTTTTATCAGATAATGAAAGTAGGGATACGTTACCTTCAACATCATCTGTTAATTCATCACTACTACCGCTATCGGCAGCAGCAGCAGCAGCAGCAACAACAACAGTCGTAACACCAGGAGATCTTACAGGACTTCCATTATTAAAATCTAATGTTTGGGAATACTTTGAACGCTGCATTAATGTCACTCGTTTAAAAGCTAAATGTTTATTATGTGCAGAAGAATTATTAACACCTAATTATCGAACATCAAATCTTAAACGTCATTTAGCTCAACGGCATAATCTTAAACAGTTTGGTTCAATTTTATCGTCACGCTCATCTACAACCACCGTTATTTTATCAAAAATAGAGAAAAAAAGTTAGACTCTCTAGCTGTCGACGCTATTATTAAAGATTCGAGAGCCTTCGGAGATTTCCAAAAGGCTGGATTCAAAAAATTCATGGATCCTTTAAAACCTGGTGAGAAATATTTTTCTATTCTTCTTGAATATATAAATTGAAGATAAAAATACTTCATAAAAAAGTGACTCTTAAGACAAATATTCGATTTTGAAATGCCTTATTTCTTCTGACATTGCGTTGAACAAAATAATGAGCATCAGCTCAAGTTAACAAAAAAGAATTTTTGACTTTAAAATTTTAAACATTTTTTAAAATATAAAATTATAGAGTCCTGTTTTCAGAAAAATAGGAATTGGTACTATGATAGTTTGGTTATTTACTACGGATAAATATTGTAAGCTGAAAGAAAATATTTTTCGTGAAAATGGGATTCAAATGAAGCGTTTTGAAGAGGTTTTAAAAGTCAACTAATTTGTAATATCATAATTTTACATTTTTAAATACCGAAAGATTGATATTAAGGATCTAAAAATCCATTCTGACAACTCCTGTAGAAACTATTGACTTAAATTAACTTCATTGATCAAGTGTGGGTGTGGGTGTGTGACTATGGCTGTCAAATGGAAATCAACACCCACGCTCACACCCACACCCGAAATTAGCTGAAATAAAGCAGGCATACGAAACTGGACGTTTACCACTTGAACAACATTTAGATTTATTGGCTGATTTTGTTGTTGGCAAGAAAAAACTTAAATTAGCTAGTGCAAGAAAGACGAGAAGAAAAACGTTGTCAAAAGAGAAACTGTATCTACTTAGTTCTAATGAAAAATAAACAAAACTCATCTTATTTAGAATAGAAAATTTTCATCATCTTTTTGTGTACTCC